TTTTTTATCATACTAATAATTAAGAATCAGTAATTTTAAAAGCTGAAATGAAACTTTGAAAAATAAGAGCATTGGTTTTCTCTTAGATATTGGATCAGAAAGGTACACTTTCAGCTTCACACTTCGGGATTCACCAACCTGTTTTGTAAATGCAGCATCCTGGGGCAATGAAGATTACATCAAGTCACTTTCGGACAGTTTTAGGGTTGGTGAGTGTGGTAAGTTAGCATTGATTCTTAAATCATTTCTGTTATAGTATTATCTCTGTGTCATTTCATGTAACTATACTAAGGGAGTCAAAATGAAATAAGACACAATTGATAATTCTCAAGAACCTTATCAGAAAAAAGTCAAGTGTTATGAGCATGATACAAGACATTAAACATTGCTTGAAGCATGCAAATATGATAGTTACATTTTTACTAGATAACTTTATTATCATCTTTAGATTATTACATATTTCAATTTGTATCAATCTCTAAACTGATTGTAACTGATTGTTACAATTTGTATCAATCTCTAAACTGATTGTTACAATCAGTTATCTTTCTATCTTTTTTTTTTTTTTTTAGAGACAGGGTCTTACACTGTTGCCTAGGCTAGAGTGCAGTGGCATTATCGTAGCTTACTGCAACCTTGAGCTCCTGGTCTTAAGCAATTTTCCTGCCTCACCCTCCTGAGTAGCTGAGGCTATATGCATGTGTAACCACACTGGGCTAATGAAAAAAAAAAATTATGTAGAGATGTGATCTTGCTATGTTGTCCAGGATTATCATGAAGCTTCAAGCTGTCCTCTTGCCTCAGCCTTCCAAAATGCTGGGATTACAGGCATAAGGTACTGTGCCCAGCCATATTCAATTCTTTCTATAGATATATAATAGGGCCACGGAATGGATTTTGATAAAATTGATATTTGAATTTTTAATGGAATTTAAAAGAACTTTATTTTTAGTTGAAATACGAAATCATTTGTGTCTTTTTTTTTTTTTGAGACAGAGTCTCAAGCTGTTACTCTGGATAGAGTGCCATGGCGTAATTGCTCACAGAAACCTCCAACTCTTGGGCTCAAGTGATCCTCTTGCCTCAGTTTTTTCTATTTTTAGTAGAGACAGGGTCTCACTTTTGCTCGGGTTGGTTTCGAACTCATGAGCTTAAGCATTCCATCCACCTTGGCCTCTCAGAGTGCTAGGATTATAGGCATGAGCCACCTCGTCCGACCTCATTTGTGTCTTCTATTCAACCAGTATCTCTCTGACAGTAAATTATAGTATAGTAGACAGAACAAGGACTTTGAAAAGGTAGATCCTGATTCAAATCCTAACTGCAACATGTGTGTACATCATGGCTTTGAAAAAATGTCTTCCTTCTTGCAAACATTAAACAAGACAATATGCCTAGTATAAAATGTAGTCAACTTAGTCATTATACTAAGTAAATGTATAAATGTATAAATGTAGTAAAACTTAGTCATTCAGTTGACAGCTCTAGCCTAATACAAGGAATAAGAAAACATGTATACTAGCTCTCCTTCCTGGTAGAAAAGGAAAAAGGAAAGAGCAATCAGGTAATTAAACCAGTCCTCTTTAATACTGTAGCATCAAGCAGCCCATTATCCATACCAGTTATTTAGTACCTAATCATATATTGCCTTGTATTATTAACTTTCAGGGTTATGTTAATGTATAGTATCTCTCTAATTGAATAATAAGGTCATTGAACATGTGGACTGCAAAGGCAGAAAACTGCAAATTTCATAGGACCTAGTACAGTTATAAACATTCCTTGAATTAACACGGTTGTATAGCGAGATAAATATGTATTTCAGTATCAACATGTTGTATGTTGATGATTGTGAGGATGAATGACAGGGATTTTAAAAGCCTAAAGTTGATGATAATTATAAATGCAAATGGGATGTTAAGATGTTTTGGTGAAAAGATTACAGATTTTTGAAGTAAAATAATTCTAATTCTAGCTCTATTACTATATAGATATATAACCTCAAACAAGGTACTTAACCTCTGTGAGTATCAGTTTCCATATTTGTAAGACGTATATAATCATAGATGGTTGTACGAGGAATGAGCAAAGCAGAGTGCTGGAAGGTCTAGCATAGGTTGTGAGGAAGCTGAAACCCTAAAATGTTGAGTTGTCAAAGCTGATGAGTGACAGTTCCCAGGTTAGTGACCCAGACTTTGCATTGCTCTTTTCACCCCCACTATAGTTTCCATGGCAAGTGTGGAGTGGGTAGAGGGCTTATTGAAGGATATGTTGTCACTAGATCAAATGCTGAATGTCACTAGACCAATAAAGAGATATCAGTGTGGTCACAAACTGGAATTTAAACATACAAAATCAGGAATGTCATCTGGGGTCATATTGATGGTTATACCTCCCAGCATTCCGATTCTAACAGAGAGATAAGATGGAGACTGTGGAGGATACACTGAAAACCACATTGTGACAGTAATTGTTGTATACACTTGTTTTTTATTTACCCTGTTACAACATTGTAATACCATTGTACTTTGACCTCTGTTTTAGTGATAATTGAAAATCCCCTGATCCAAAGAAAGGAAATAGAAAGAGAAGAAAAATTCAGCCCTACCACTCCTAGGTAAATATCTGTCTAATGCAGAGATCAACAATTTTTGTGCAAGAATGATCACTGCTAATAATTTTATATCAGATTAGCAGAGAGTTTACTAAAGGCACTTTATAAGATGTCCCAAAAGTCATCCCTAATGTCTCCATACATAGAGAAAATGGGAAATTGTAGCTAAATGTGCTTTTCTTTACAACATATTTACAAAATATTATCTATGGTGTTGGTAACCTCTTTGTAAATATTTTGTAATGAATATTTTGTGAATAAAGGCACAGTTAGCTACAATTTTTCATTTTCCCTATGTATGGAGATTTTAGGGGTGACTTTCAGGACACTCTGTACTTCAATTTGGAAACCAAAGTTTAATTCTCTTTCACAACATTTATATTTGATTATGAGATAATTTATTTTGATACAGACTCTCATGAAAAAATGGCTTTGTTTTTAGTATGTTGATTCTCATTCTTAGATTATAAAAATTTGGCTCCAGTCACATTAAAACTGAACAATTAGAAGAAAAGATAAATCTTGGAAATTATATATGTCTTTTATTGTATCAGGGTGTCACTCGCTCATATGCCATACCATCTTAGGTTCCCTGGAAGCTTAAGAGGAGGATTCATGTGCAAGTGCTTTATTGAGGGAGAGCTCTGAGGAGATACGGCAAGGATAGGTTTGGGGTTGGGGAGAAGCTGAGCAAAAAAGTAAGTTTACCTGGAGCCTCCACTGGAGCCCAGGAGGGAGCTCTGGAGGAGAAGCCCCTCAGAGCAGCATCCTTAGGGGAGGGGGCTGGGGTTTTTGTACCCTGTGTTAGTCACTGGTTGTAATCTATCCTCTCCCCAGTTCCTCCACCGGATGGGGTGAGCCATAACTTCAGAAGCAGTTCTGACAATTCTTAAGAGGAGGGTGTAGCTGTGCCCTATACCAGACTGCATGTGGAGGATGGACTGTGGGGTATGAAGCTTAGACAGGAGAGCAAGGCAGTGGTGTGGGACAGAGTGATATGGTGATTCTAAGGCAACCTCAGGGGGTAGGGAGCTGGATTAGAAGTCCACCAGGAAGGCTGGGCAGAGTTGCAAAGGGAAGAGCACCTCATTTTGCACCATAGAGAGCACCCACAGAGGTAAGAAAACACAATCCTTGATCTAAGGCATGAGCCAGAGCAGCCAGGGTCATAAGAGAGAAATAACAAATCCTTGGGTTTATATTTAGTATACCCCCCTAAAGTTTTAGAGTGTTTTTATGCCCCTGTTTTATATAGAAGAAAACAAGCTCAGAATCTTGGGCAAAGTCAGGCAAGTAACATGCTTGGAGCTCAGGCATGAATTGATCCTCAAAACATTCTCTTTGGCTGAGTGCAGTGGCTCACACCTGTGATTGGGAGGCTGAGGCCAGAGGATCTCTTGAGGCCAGGAGTTCAGGACCAGCCTGGACAATATAGAGATGCCATCTCTACAAAAAATTTCTACTACCTGGATATGGTGGTGTGCACCTATAGTCCCAGCTACTCAAGAGGGTGAGGCAGGAGAATTGCTTAAGCCCAGGAATCTGTGGTTGCAGTGAGCAGTAGTGATCCCACTGTACTCTAACCTGAGCAACAGAGTTAGACCTTGTCTCAAACAAAACAAAAAACCCAAACTTTCTTAATGAAAGTACATTTTAAACAAAAAATATTTTGCCACATAATTCAGGGTTTGTAAAAGTAAAAAGTATAAATTTCTTAATATAGTCTGAATTTTAATCAAAAAAGTAATTTAGCTGTGAACCTGTATTATTCTATGCCAATATTCTTTGATACCAATCTTTTGGTGTGTTTTTGCAATTTAGCAACTGTAAACTATTGCTCAGTGAGAATCACTCAACGGTAAAAGTTTGTTCCAGTTGTGAAGTGGACGCCAAGTTACTTTCTTTGATACATTTGCCAGTTAAAGAGTCTTGTGATTATTATTCATTGGGTGACATTGTTGCAAATGGACCGAGTCTTAATGGAAAGATTATTAACGTGCTTGCAGCTGTGAGGTCGGTAAGTTAAAATCCCCAACAATGCCAAGTGTTATGTGGGGTGGGGGAGTCTTTGTCACTTAATTTTGTGTTTGAGTTGGAGTGGTCATCATGATCTACTGGGGTAATTTTTCCTCTGTATCTTGATAGTGAGTTGAATTAAGAAAACAGTAACACTTTTCATTAAGGAAAAATAGCATTTTATTTGTGAATGAGTAGCAAAACAAAATCATATTTGAATGCTAAATGTATCTCTGCAAAATGATGTGCTAAGTATTTGAGAGCTTTTCATACTTAAAGATGCCAATGGAAAGGATCAGCTTACTGGCTTGAGGAGCTTCATGATGTTTCTTGAAGGGGTATAGATGAATAAGTCAAGGAATCCATTCTGGTTCGGCGCCTGTGGCTCAACCGGCTAAGGCGCCAGCCATGTACACCTAAGGTGGCGGGTTTGAATCCCCAGCCCGGACCCGCCAAACAACAATGACGG